GCCGCGTACTTTGCGTGGACGCTTGATCGCTATGGCCTGGATGTTTATTGCTTTGGTGACCAGTGCGATTTTTGTGAGTCAATTGGTCAATGAGTTGGCGAGCCAGAAAAAAGGCAGCGCTGCATTTAGTCGGCCAGGTGATTTAGTAGGTAAGCGGGTGGGGGCTTTGGCTGATTCGGCCACGGCCCACTATATGCGCACTATTTACAATATTCAAACGTTTCCTTTTTATCATGTGCGCGATGGTTTGCGTGCGGTCAAGGAGGGCAAGATAGATGCTTATGTCGGCGGGGAGCCCACCTTGCATTTCAATGTGAAGCAGTTCTTTAATAAAGATTTAGAGATATTGAAATGGAATTTTGGTAATCAGTTCTACGCCATTGAGCTGCCGCGTGAGAGCCCTTTGCGCAAACCCATTGATTATCATCTTTCTCAGTATTTGCACACCAGCGAATGGGCAGATGTGCAGAATTTTTTCTCGCACCACTGGACCATGCCGCAAGGCACGAATGTAGGGGCCTCGCCCTCCACCACCCATTAAGGCCGCTTTAAGATGTAGCGTTGTACCGCTTGGTTGTGGGCATTCAAATTGTTGCTAAAGTGGCTTTTGCCCGAACCGTCGTTTAATGAGACAAAGTACAGCGCATCAGTCGGTGCGGGTTGTACCGCAGCGAGCAGTGCGGCTCGCCCGGGCATGGCGATGGGGGTGGCAGGTAGGCCCCGGCGGGTGTAGGTGTTCCACGGGGTGTCGGTTTGCAAATCCACTTTGCGGATATTGCCCCTATAGGTCTCTCCCATGCCGTAGATTACAGTGGGGTCGGTCTGCAAGGGCATATCTATTTTCAGGCGGTTATGAAAAACAGCAGCAACACTGTTGCGGTCAGATGGGTGGGCGGTTTCTTTTTCTATGATGCTGGCCAAATTCACCATTTCAGCCGGTGAGCTGATGGCGAGGTCTTCGGCACGCTGTTCCCAAGCGGTTCGTATATCGGTTTGCATTTTTTTTGCCGCTTGGCGAAAGAAGACCAAATCACTGGTGTCACGGGGGTAGAGGTAGGTGTCTGGTGCCAGATAGCCCTCTAGGGTGGGCAGTGCAGGTATGTTTATGGCGGCCAGTAGTTCTTGTTCACTCATGTTTCGGCTGTCTTGGCGCAACCAATTTTTTTGTCGCAATAGCTGCCGAATTTGTTTCAAATTCCAACCCTCGGGTATGGTCAGGCTGTGCAGGGTTTGGCTGCCTTCTTGCAGTTTGCGGGTAATGGCCAG